GATAGTGCATTTAGGGTGCTGGTGGAGAAAAGATGTTGAAAGTTCAGATCAAATGATTAGAATGTGATAATAGCAGAACGACGGTGTGTCTAACTGCCAGACTGAAAAGAACACAGTCCCACTGGAGTTCGGGGAGGTGAGAGAAGGCATGATAACGGAATGTAACAAGCTAAAAGAAAGGGAAGAAATGGGAGTTGGTTCACAATTTGAAGGTGTTGAACACAGTATCAAGTCCAGAAGGCTGTAAAGTGCCTAGTCTGAAGAGGAGATGTTGTTCCTCCAGGTTTGCGCCGTGATTCACTGGAGCACTGTGGCATGCCAAGGACAAACAAACGGGCATGCCAGCAGGACGCTGTGTTAAAACAACCAGCTATGGGAAGGCCGGAATCATGCATGCGCACAGACCGGAGGTGTTCTGCAAAGCAGTCACCCAGTCTGCGTTTGTGCAGTAGACCACATTAGGTGTAGCAAATACAATACACAAGATTGGAGGTGGTACAGGTGAAAGGCTGCTGCACCTGGAAAGACTTTAGGCCTTTGGATGGTGAGCTGGGAGGAGTTTTCACTTCAGGATGGTGTGTTGCCTCCCTAGTGTCAAGGTCGGGGCATTGAGTATAAAAGTTGGCAAGTTATGTTGCAGCTGTATAAAACACTATAGGAAGGATCTGGAGGCGTTGGAAAGAGTACGAAAGAGGTTTCCACACGGTATTGACTCTGACTGCAGCATCTGCAGTTCGTGCTGTTTACCAGGATGTTGCCTGGATTGGCATGAAGTAGCTATAACGGGAGGTTGGACAAAGCTGGGTCACGTTTTTGCTAGAGTGTGGGGAGGTTGATGGGGGACCTGATAGAAGTATATAAAATGATGGCAGGCATGGATAGGCATGGATAGCCAAATGTCAAAATGGGTGAAAGTGTCAAGTACTAGGAAGCAGAGGTTTAAAGTGAGAGGGTGTAAGTTTAAAGGAGATGTGAGAGGAAAGTTGTTTACAGAGAGGTTGGTGGGTGCCTAGAATGCACTGCCAGAGGAGGTGATAATAACAGATACAATAACAATGTTCAAGAGGCATTTAGACAGGCACATGAACAGGCAGGGAATACAGGAATATGGATCAGGTGCAGGTAGATGGGAGTAGAATGGCATCATGATCAGCACAGACAGGATGGGCTCAGGGGCCTGGTAAGTACCTTTGGACATTTACCTACAGTGAATATGCTGTATAAATGCAATTTATTGTGGTTAGATGATATTTATTACACGCTATTAGTACACTTAGAAAGATGATATATAAAAGCACACAAGCCATGCTGAGCAAGTGAAAGTTTAATAATATACTGAAAGAATTAATTAATTATTAACAGTTAAAAAGCATACAATAGGCCTGAGGACTAACTTACGT